AATACCTATCAAAGGCTCAAAAGCTAACATCCCTCTTATATAGCAGCTAACACCCCAGGAGTTTCCAGGATTTCCTCTAAGTATACTGAAAAACCCAAGAAGTTAAAAATTGTGTATTGAAAAAAATAAGCCAAAGTGATAACAGAAATCGATAATGGTATATTTTATTTATCATTGATTGGAATCTGAAGAACAAATCACATAGGTGAAGTGAGATTCCTTCCTTACAGCCATTCAACTTCAGGTATCCAGGGTTGGGTCAAGTCTTATCCATAGTGCTATCTTCACGGGTTACCTGGCAGCTGTATCTTTTATGAGATATCCATAGTTCCAGTGTCAGGGTCAGGTAGCTTCTAGCTATGTACTCAGTGTTGTTTGCAGGGATATTAGAAAGAAATGGCATCTGCATTTTGGATCACCATCACAGCACGTGGTGGAAACCATTCACCAGATAGACAAATGTAGATTTCTTTGTATAAAGCTCCTTAAAGGAGAAGAGAATAGAATGACTGGGGGTTGCCCTTGGCTGACCTAAGAAGTAAAAGATGGGCAAGAATCAGAGACGTTGTCTGCCCCAGGCTTGGACTGATACATAGGCCTAACGCTGAAGGAGAGACTTTGCTATGATTTCCTCCTGAACTCTGAGCAGAAGTAGTATCAGTGAAAGTTATTTACCTGAATGATGTTCTTCAATTCTTGGATCTGGTGGGTCACTTTCCACTTTGCAGCTAGTCAGACTCTGGCATAGTCTTTAAATACTTACCACTCTCTGCTCCTCCTTCATATTAACTGGAGAAGCCTTGGGAACTTACCTTTGCTATGGACAATTCTTCCTGGACATTCCATTCCAGGCCCTCCATTCTGAATCTTCATTTGGTATCTTTGATTTCTGAATCTAGGTTCTTTGTATGTGGAGAGATTAGCTTGTTTCTTAGGCACTGACTTATTCCCTTCATTCCAGACTTTGCTCACAGTGAACCCTTTGCAACATTGTAGAGAAGACTTGGCAGGCCCTGAGCACTGAGGACTAGTTCCATTGAGATCAGAGCTTTGTGTGTGGGGGGGACTAGAGAGAGAGAGTTCAACAGTTAAGAGGCTCTTCCAGAAGACCCAGGTTCAATTCCCAGTACCCACATGGCAACTCACAACTGTCTGTAATTCCAAGAGCCAATACCCTCACACAGAAACACACACAGACACCAATGCCCATAAAATAGAAATAAAGAAATGAAATTATTAAAAAGACTGCAGGCTCTCAGAGAATCTGATAATAAATTTTTAAAAAAAGGAAAGAAAAAGAGATCAGAGCTTCTTTTTGCCTCCCTTAGGCTTTTAATACATGTCAAAGCAGAGAAAATTCATATATAAGGAGAACCAAGCAGGAAGATGTCATTAGGGATAATATTCCAAAAATAAGAATCCTGTGATGAGGGATCTGAGGCATGTTTATGTGGCCATGTGTGTGTCCCTGAGGAGTAAATAACACGCTCTGTCTTGAAGATGGAGTGGTGTGATGGTGAGGATCCATATGTAGACAAGCAGAGAAAAGGCCCTAATGTGGCCTAAGGCAGGGAGGCTTTCAAGAATCCTAATTATTTTAACCAAATATTTCAGAGAACTAGGTATTCTCCTTGTTAATTCCTTATCATATTAAAAAAAATAAAGAATGAGCATTGTTATGCAAGCTTGTAATACCAGGACTTAGAAGAAGAATGTGGGAAGATTTTAATTGAGTCCATTATGAAGTTTTGGCTGGATAGAGAGATCCTGTTCAAAGAAAAGGAATGAAAGGAAGAAAGACAGAAAATTGAAAAAAAATGGTGAAATGAAGTGGCTTACCATAGAAAGGAGGAGCATTAAGAACATTAGACTCTGTCTGTCTCTAGAATGAGAGTCTCGTCCTGTTTAGAGAATACCAGAGACTCAGAAGCCTACATCTCCACACCATGTCCTCCCATCCCCCATCTCCTACGTCCTATGTTGGCAAACTAGATGTTTGCCAAGAGGATATGTAGTTAATCTGACTTCTAAACATTTACTATTTCATTATAGACCAGTACCACTCTCAGCCTTGGTCAGAACAGCTTTCTCCCCCCAGTGGGTGAGGGTCAATGCCAGGACTCAACTCTTCAAAGTGTCTAGAGGTAGAAGAACTGTGAAAGTTGAAGGATAGGGAGGATGTGGTGGTTTTATGAATATCACATGGACATTACAATCATGAAAATATGGCAGCTGGAATCGAGGCTCGAAAACATACATAGATAAGTACATACATACATACATTCATATAACATACATACACATACAGAGAAAGGACAGACATGTGGTCAAGAATGAAATCTGTTGGCAAGAATGAGGAGGTCATTTGGAGCAGGTCGAAAGCTCAGACAGAGGAAATTAGTAAAATCACAATGCATACAAGTATTTATGTTGTCAATTTTAAATAAATTAAAACTAAACACCATGTAAGCAAGGAGTAATTCTGTGATAATTTCGTTAGAGAATAGTAAGAAATATGGTAGTATGGGTTCTAGTCCTTGCACCACGGAGGTTGAGTGATGGAGTTCAAGGCCTGTGTAGGTTACAAAGTAAACATTTATTTTAAAAAGAAGCAAGAGTTTCTTTTCTCTGTGTTTTAAACTTTTCATTGTTGCACTTACTCATTTAGGTTTACTTCTAGAAACTGTGTTTACTATTCTATTGTAAATAGAATTATTTTCCTGATTCCTTGCTCAGTATGTGCACTATGTTGAATAGGATAGCTTGTAGTTCTTTAGGATGAATTTGTTTCCTGGTATATGGCTGAAAGTGTTCACAGTTCTACTGGTTTTCTTGTGGAGTCTTTAGCTGTTATGTGTACAGACAGAGGAATACTGAGATGCTGCACATCCTTGGTCAGGCAAGGCTAATCACAATGGCCAGACTTAGGATCAGCCTAGGCACAGATGAGCAGATAAAGGACATGTACTTTTTTTGTATACAAGAAGGAGAGTTATCCAGTCACAGAGAAGAGCAAAATTATGTTGCATTTAGCAATCTGAGAAAGGACAAAGTGTAGGGTGGTGTGTAGGATCAAAGTAAATGGTGTGCTATAATGAAAACATTTTTGTGAACCCATCACTATGTACAATGAATATGCACCAGTAAAAATTAAAAAGTAACTAACCATCAAAAAAATTAAGGTTTGAGGACATAGGACAGCAGTAGAATATTTGCCTAGAATGAATCTGGATTCAATAACCAACACTGCAAAAATTATGTAATCGCTAGTTGGTGGGAACAGCACTTTACTTTTCTATGTCTTTGTTCTTGAATTTTAGCTCAGTGTTCTCGGGAATTAAACATGACAACAAGCAGAACACGGTGATGCACCTGTGATCCCAGAACTTTGGAGGCAGTCAGGCAGAATTCTCTGGGTCTGAGGCCTGGGAAAGAGATCTTGTCTCAAATAACCAAAACAACAACAATAACAACAATAATAACACCATCAGCAGAAACAATGTTGCAAAAAAATGATAGAAATGTTCCTCTGCACAGCAGCTGGGGAGGGGGTGGAACTGGCCAATGAAGAAGAGAAGATCAACAGAAGTCAATTCTGTGACTTCATCTTTGAGTCACAGATTTCAGTTTCATGAACTAAAGTCAGTTGCTGTACAATATCATCTCCTGAACGTCCCTCTAATGCAGAGGCTAATATTTGAATAGGTGTGGCCGAGATTCCATACTGTTGCTCTACTCCTGCTCACACTACCGTTTTGAAAACTTCTTGATCCGCCAGCCTCTATCCCTGGGCTCATTCCTCAACCAGAATCTTGGTGGGGACACTTGTCATTGTCCAGGTTCTGAGAATCATGGAACAGAGGTGTTGAACAACGTCTGCACTGCTAGGGAGTTGATCCAGTCCACTTGTAGGGGCACCCTGAACTATTATGCTTGAGCCAGGGAAGAAACAAAATATGCTAGGATGGGGATTCTAGGGACAGTCTTGTTCTCTGTAGGGTACCCAGACATTTAGCCATTCTTGGAACCTACAGCCATGATGTTATATGGTAAATCCCAGAATCTAGCTTTGAAGTAGAAACTCGTCCAATCTCTCACATTTAGCACTGAATGCCTTTGTTCCCTTTGCGGATGGTTTCTTTTTCTTCTTCTTTTTTTTTTTTTGAATTTTATTTTTTCTTATCAGTTACATTTTATTAACTCTGTATCCCAGCCATGTCCCGCTCCCTCATTCCCTCCCAGTCCCTCCCTCCCTCCCTCATCTCCACTGTGCCCCTTTCCAAGTCCACTGATAGGGGGGACCTCCTCCCCATTCATCTGATCCTGTTTTATCAGGTATCTTCAGGACTGGCTGCAAAGCTCTCCTCTATGGCCTAACAGGACTGCTCCTCCCTCGGGGGGTGGGGAGGCCAAAGAGCCAGTCATTGAGAAAAAATTTGTCCTAGTCGCTCCCTTCCGCACTGAATGCCTTTGTTCCCTTTGGGGATCATTTCTTATTTGCCTTAGTTCAACAAAGTTCTATTCCCATCAATGTTGATCAGAAGCATTCTACAGTCCTTGTGAACCCCACATACACTCTTACCTTAGCTTGGTTTTCTTATCTGGATTGATCACGATACACTTTTATTTTCCTGCTACTCTTTATTTTTACTTGAATGGTAGAAACAGGGATCTCATATAGAATTGTCAGTTTTTCTAATACTCAATTCTGAGATAAGGTAACTAGGCACCAGTAGATTGTTAGAAATGCACTTGACACTTGATTAGGTTTATTAAAGAGTGAAGTCAGAGAAGTCTATGACATTCATACTGCACAATTGCATTGTGTAATTGGAAGTCCAGGAAAGAATTTGAACAATTGTGTCCGTGTGAAGATGGCACTTTCTGGGGTGACAATGCAGGCCATGGCCCTGCTTGTAAACTACAGTGCGCCAGGATATTCCTTACTCTACTCTGAATCCCAGTGAAATATGCATTAGAACAAATAAGGCAGAGCAGAATTACAGGTTGATAATAGATATTTTATTGTGCATTTTGAGAGCAGGGAAAACGGCTGTGATAGGCAATAGCAGTAAGGGTATTCTTGGGCATGATTCTGATCTCATGCTCGGTGGGTAACATGAAGGTCAGAAGACCTAGGAACACTCAGCAGGGGACAGCCTCTTCTCCACAGTGTTCCCTTCATGAGTGACCTGGCAGCTGATAGTGCTTTTAGATTCCCACATTTCTTTTGTCAAGGACAGGTAGCTGGTAGCCACATACTTGTTGTTGTTCTGTCGGGAAGGCTGGCTAGTCTCCACACCTGCGGTGATAGGAGTGCCGTCTGCCTTCCAGGTCACTGACACAACACCTGGGTAGAAGTCCGTCATCATACACACCAGTGTGGCCTTGTTGGTCCTGAGCTCCTCAGGGGAAGGCGGGAACACAGTGACTGAGGGTGTAGCCTTGGGCTGACCTGCAGGGTGAAGAGAGAGGGTCAGAATTTTGTTTTCCCAATAGGAATCCTGGAGGAAGTATATAAATTGTCCTTGAAGTTAGTGAATGTGTTTGAACATAGTACAGAAGATGGGGTATGCATTTCTTTCATGTGCTCCCTATGTGCTAAAAATTATGCACCCACATATTTATACAATTTACCTGACAATTTCCTACAACTTGACCTCCAACACAGACACCTGATCTTTTTATTTCTTTTTCTTATGTTCTTCTCTCTGCTTTTTATGTCTATCTGTAGTCTGTCTGTCCCACTCGGAAGACAGACAGTTCTGATGTAAACCTCTGCTCTGAGCCTAAACTTTAAACCTAGGCATTTGTTTTCACCCAAATTTGCCTCTCCAGGGTCTCAGCATAGTTTCTACCTGCTTGAACTTTTTCTCATTCTTCAGAATTAGGTCATATTCCCCTCTCTGGCTAAGTTGTATAATTTTCATGCATCAGGAGTAGATCTAGGTGAACTCAGTTGATCCATCTTTTAGGTTTTGTAGAGACTCAGAAGCCCACCTTCCCAAATACATCTTTAGTTTTTCTTGTCTTGACTTTCTGTGCCCAGAGCTTTTCCCCCTTTCTTCTACTTACTAGATATTCCTGTGTTCTAGGTTGGTTTCTGCTCTGTTCATGGCTTTCCAAGGAGGCTTGGGGATCCATTCTATCTTCTGACTGTCCTAGAATTTGAATCCTGAGTTCCTTTGTCTAGATACCTGGCCCCTGACTTGTTATTCCTCATCCTCAGTGCTAAGTTTTCTACATTCTCCAAATTCAACAGCTCTCTCTCCCTCTATGCCTCATCTCCATGAGATGACAGTTCACTTTACCCTTCACAAAGTTCACCAGAAAAATAGACATTCAAATGGGGTACTTATCAGAGTGCTTTAAAGTACAGACAGACATTGATAGTTTATCTGTTTCAGGCCCCAGTCTGAGATTAGACAAAAAAAGCGCACAGGGAACTGTTTGAAATGAGACACAGAATCTAGGGAACAAGCGAATATTCACCTAGAGTGAAGATCAGGCATGAAGCAGAATACAAACTGAGGAATAATCCAACATAATCATCTCAAACCGTGGAGACAACAGTAATATAGGAGGAAGGAGTCACTCACCTAGGACAGTCAATTTGGTCCCGCTGCCGAACACCCAACACTATGATATAGACTCATGCAAAAACCCTACATGCACCTTATTCTTTAGTTGCAGCTGTGATGTCTGCAATCCCTCATGATTCTCGGAAGGTAGTAACCTCACTGATACCCTTTAAAGATATTGTGACCTTTGTGAAAGTCCTGGTGCCCCTACTTTGACCTGCTTCATGGTCCCCAATGTTTATTCTTCCTGAGAACATGAATTGGAGCCCTGTGTCTGTTCAGACCCTAACTAATGCCTCAGAGATCTAAGCATATCTATTGCAATCTAACACCAGTTGCTCATAGATTTTTGGTCCTTCCTACAGCTTATTCCAAAATGGTCCATCTCCCTTAACTACCATGAAGAAGGCTAAGAATTCAGTCTTTAAGTCTGAGGAAGACAGATGAAAAAAAAAGTTCCCAGAAAGAAAAAACAAATCTTTGCAAGACAACAAGGGCTGGGCTGAATGGGAAAGAGAATTAAAGCCACTTACCTAGGACAGTGAGCCTGGTTCCACTGCCGAAAACATAACACAGTGATTGAGACTCAACTCAAAACCTGTGGGGCCACTGCCTGGGCCTCTTCTCTGGCAGCTGGGCTGGATCAAAACAATAGCTGGCTGTAATGGGTGGAGCTGTGAGCTTGCTTGAGGACAGGTGGGTGATAATCCTTTCCACAGGCTTGTCTCCTTGTTAGGCAGGCACCTGCATGTAGGTGTTCCTATTCCATGTATATGCTGCCCCATCTGTGATACTGTGTGTTGACAGCAATCCCATAGATCTCAAACAAATCCTGAGTGACAGACACATTATTTCAGGTGCCTTTGTTGTGTGACATAGAATTCTCTGACTTTGGCTTCATTTTACAGACTGAGATATTTCTTCCTCACAAATTTGGACAGTCACACTTGGTCACCGTTTTTGGAACCAGGGACACAGAGTCACTCTTGCCTTATGAAACTTCCACACAGGAAATTCTTTCTTAATTTCTTTCCTCAGAGGTGTATGCCATCTCTCCGTCATTCATGTGTTTTCTCAGAATATATATCTCCACCATTTCATCTACTTGCACATACATATATACCTATCCTTATATATACATATACCCAACAATGACCATAAAGCATCCATTTCTTTGTTTTTTCTTTTCTTTTTTAAAATTTATTATTTATTACAATTTATCTACTTTGTATCTCTGCTGTAGTCCCCTCCCACATCTCCTTTTAGTCACACCCACCCTCCCTCTTCTCCCCCTGTGCTCCTTCTGTAGTCCATTGCTAGGGGAGGACCTCCTCCCCTTCTATCTATCTGACTCTAGCATATCAGGTCACATCAGGATTGTCTGCATCTTCTTTCTCTGTGGCCTGGCAAGGCTGCACCCTACAGGGAGAGGTGATTAAAGAGCTAGACACCGAATTCATGCCAGAGAAAGCCCCTGCTCTACTTACTAGAAAACCTACTTGGAGACTGAGTCTATGGGCCATATATGAGCTTTAGGTCCTCTCTGTGCATGGTCCTTGGTTGGAGTTTTGGTCTCTGGGCCCTGACATTTTGGGTCTGTTGGTCTCCTTCTGGAGCTCCTGTCCCTTCCAGGTCTTTTGTCTCCCTCTTCTTCCATAAGATAGCGACCAAACAGCAAACTCCACTGGTGGATCCCCCCCAACTCTCTCTCTTTTTTAAATGTTAGAACATGGATAGACTACTCTGGCTTTCTCCTTCACAGTTTCTTGAAACTTCTTATACAAAAGACAAAACTTGATCCTCTACAATTCTTTATTTTCAGCAATTTCTCTCTCATATAGAGCCTGGAGTCATCAAAAATGTTTTTCTCTCATTAAATCAGCATATTTTCTTGGTATTCTACAGCACAGCATGCCATTAAAATGCTCAAAAGACAAAGACCAACACCCAGTTCACACCAAGAGCTCATAGTGATATGAGCTTTGTAGGTTTTGTTGAAATTTGATTTTATCTCCCAAGAGAATTTTTAAATAAATGAAAACTTCATGTGTATATATGCATGAGTTTCTTTTTTGCATGAGAGTTTCTTTATGTGAGTTTAATGTCCTCAGAGACTAAGAAAAGGTGTCAGATCTTTTGAAGTTAGAATTATAGACCATTGTTAGACACTCAGTGTGGGTCTTGCCTACCAAACTTGGGTCTTCTGTGAGAGCAGCACATTCTTTAAACCACTGAGCCACATCTTCAGATCCCCAATATTATTAATTTATACTACAAGATGATCCACACATTTAGACTACCATCTAAATTTTTCTTTCTGTACTGTTCCGTAACTTTATTTGAATTCATCAACATAACAGCTTGCTTCTCGTTAAAGAGTTGTACAAAAATAAATAAATAAATAAAATATATTAGCAGCATAATCCCAGTACTTATTTCTTACTAAATAAAGCAATAATTGTTTCTTTAGATCTAGAAGGAAAATTCCTCAACCAGTGATTCTTTAAAAATATAACAAGATTCTTCATACTTAAGGTAAAACATTTGAGTCAGAAACAAGGACAAACTCCCACTTATTCTTTCATCATTTACAAGATACTACTTCTCTAGACACTGGAATAGGCTTGGGGACACAAATGCCTGATAAAATTTTAGGCAACCAACAGAGAAGCCTGGAAGAATCAGCTGAGGAGTCGTTGAACTAACAAGAGAAGTAATGGTTGAATACAGGAACACCCTACAAATTCCTCAAGATTCTTTGCTGTGTGAATGATCCATTTGTGATTCACTAGCATTATAGAAAACACTATAGAAATAAACAACATAGAATGTCATATAAATATCATTTGTTTTGTGAATAAACTACTTGGCTATTTAACATAAAGGTGAATTATCAAACTCCATCTTCCTTCTTGATGAAAATGCTGTGTATAGTAAGATCATTTCTTTTCAAATTAATCATATACCACATCAAATTGCAGTCATAATAACAAAATAAAACTTTTTGAGAAAAAGGGAATTCATTCTAAAATCAAGAACAATGGAGATTTCCAACGATGGGGATCAGGGGATCATGTCTCTGACATGAACTCAGTGGCTGGCTCTTTGATCACCTCCCCCTGGGTGATGCAGCCTTACCAGTCCACAGAGGAAGACAATGCAGCCAGCCCTGATTAGACCTGATAGGCTAGGTTCAGATGGAAAGGGAGGAGGTCCTTCCCTATCAGGGGACTAGAGAAAGGGCATAGAAGGAGAAGAGGGAGGGTGCGTGTGACTAGGAGAAGATGAGGAAGGGGGCTGCAGTAAAGATACAAAGTGAATAAATTGGAATAAATAAATAAGTAAAAGACTGCAATTAAGAACAATGGAGACGGGCTTAAATATTTGATGAACAATAATAATGAAAAATTATTTTCCTCCCAGATGCCAAAGCACACTCTAAAGCTAATATAACTAGAGTGGGGTTACATGATCCATCAAAATACCAGGATAAACAAACACAGAATATTGTTGAATCAATAGGTCAGCATTTGCTAATTTATACTTAACATGTGTAACAACTAATTTTCAATTTGGAAAATTTAATGTTCCGGTATGTACAACATACTCCAGATAATGTTTAAAACACACAATCAAAAACTGTAAAGCACCCAAACAATAAAAGTGCCAGAACACAACCGAAAAAAAAAAGAAGAGATTCACAACATCAAAATAGAATGGCTTTCCTTTAAATGGTACAAATCACATAAACATACAGAAAACACTAAATCAATGCAAAAAATAATTTGTATCAGATGCTGCATAGTTAAGCATTTCATGAATGTCAGAAAATCTAACAGGAGCATACCTGCAAGTACAAATCCTAAATCAAGTTAACATTCTCAGTAAAGTGCCGTACGTGATAGCCCATGCCTGCAAGCCTAGCATTTTGGGAGAGTAAACCAAGAAGTACATTGCAGTTTCAAGGCCAGCCTGGACTACATAATGTATTCAGCACCAGTCTGGGCTACATCATCGTGTATTCAAAGCCAGCCTGGTATATATAATGAAAGCACATGTGTAACAATAATAATGAAGGAAGAGGGATTTTCAAAATTGACAGTGAGATGGCAATGTAGAAGGACTTCAAGTGAACGGCGCTGGGGCTGGAAGCGGGATTGGGAGGAGGAAGTGATATAATTCTACTTAAACTAAACACACACACACAAACATGAAAACAAAGAAAAAAATCAAATCCAAAGTAAATTAACATGCTATTATAGAAATATGAGAAGATACAAGCAACTGAATAGACAAGCAGGCAATATGTAATGCATGAAGTCAAAGAAATCAACTCAGACATTAAAATATAATGAAAAATTTTAGTTGCCAGATATAAGCAATAAACAGCTAAGACTCTTTACTCTTTGCTTGACACAAAGGAAAATAGATTGACAGCAAGTCCATAATTTACTTTTAGCAAGTACATCAGAGGAAGAGTGTGGAGTGAGACTATTAGAGAAAGTATTTGGAATCCTTACAAAAATTAGAAAGGCATTCTTTCTGATTAGGGACATTTACTTTTAGGTACCAATTCTGTGGAGACTCTTAATGTGTGTGATCCACTTAAGATAGTTTCTGGGAAATAATGTTTGGTATTATTAAAATAATGATTTAATTTTTTTGTTTTGTTTTTGTATTGCAATTTAATTACAATTCTTCCTTCCCTTTTTTCCCAAACCCTCTCATATACCCCTCCCTATGTGCCTTTCTAATTCATGGCCTCTTTTTTTTTTTATCAGTTGTTACTGCATGCACATATGTATTTGTATATACATATATATTCCTAAATAGAACATGTTACAACTATATAATGTTACTTATGTGTAACACTTTTGTGATTATGATGTATAGTTAACATATGTTTATATTAATCAGCTATAATTATTTATATAATTATATAATGATTTTATTTTAAAATTATTTTAAGCCCTAAAATTAAATATATATTCAAAGTAACATTTTTAAAAAAGCCAAACAAAGTGAAAGAGAAAATTAAAATTAAGTAAAATCTCACTAACCCAAGACACACAATTGAAATCCCTTAATATTAATGGCAGGGTTTGAAAATGCTCATGTGTTAAGAAGGCAACTGTTATGAAATACACTTAACTAAAGACTAAAATATAACATCTACATATAAGAGAAAAAAATGAGTCCCATTACAAGGAAAGAGGGGCAAAATATAATAAAAGAGGTAAAGAGAAAACTGGAAAAGGAAGATTAAATGGAGAAGGGAATGGGGGGCTTGTTATAGGAGGGAATATGGGGAGCAGCATTAACACTACAGACCTTTTTAAAAGTCATGTGGAAACCTACATTTCTATTATTGAAGACATTTCATAAAATATTTACATATATGAAAGGAACTTAGAGTCACCCTACAGTGGGGAAGACAATACCCCAACTGGATATTCTAATAAATTATGACACAGAGCAAAACTCTCAGTACTAGAAATGGATTACATTTTGTGAAGTCATTGGCTGAAGAATTCCCACAGACCCCTCCCACAACACCAACCCCTCAAACATCACAGGCTGTTGCCAAGGCTATTGGCTCATCACAACCCGATGGTAAACTCCTTTGGCTGAAGACTATGCTTTCTTAGTAACTGAACACAGACACGTCGAGTTGCGTCTGACTAGAAACTTCACCTCGACTGCTTAGCCTTCGTTTTGCTGAAAGGTGCTTTGAATGCTTCCAGAAGAGAAAGGGGATCATCATTATCACTTAGCTACAAACCATGTGGCTTACAACAACAACCCATCTGCAAGGTATGTTTGTTTGATAGTGACACAGATGATCTGGGATTAACCAGCGATTCTGGTTGAACTGAGGGCCTACTTCATGAGACGGAATCCATATCCGGTACTACTAAAGTGGCCAAGAACCTGAGATTACAGGTCAGGAGCCTGCAGGAAAATCTACTACAATTATTTTGCTAGAGGAACAGCAGTACAGTGATTCCTGATGGCATATTGCATCCTGACGGATCACAACCTTGCTCAACTCTCATCAAAGAAATGTCTTCTTGCAGTAGATGGGAATCAGTGTGGAGACCCACAGAGTGAGAGACCTTGGGACACTCAGTCCTGAATGAGATGTCTTCATTAAACCCGTTCGCCACGGCACAGGGAATTATGTAGAAAAGACAAAAAGATTCTAAGAGCCAGAAGTGGTGGATGACTCCAAGGAAACAGAGCTCAGACACAACAGGACCTTTATACATATGAGCTCACAGAGACTGTGACAGCAAGCTCAAGACCTGCACAAGTACAAAGCAGATACAGTCTAAGCACCGAGAAGGGGAAATAGACACAAAGTTAGGCGCCTAGCAGAGAAGATTTCTTCTTCTTTTGCAACTGATAACCATTGGCAAGTAGAAAATCAGCTTTCTCCAAGAGAGCGATGGTGAGAGAGTGGGCATACCAGCCACACTTCCCGGCAAGCCCCGTACCCAAGATTAGTTGGCCACCCCAGAACAAACTTCGTGGTTTTTGTAGGCTTTCCCTGATTTGTTGATATTTGTTGGTATTTTTCTCTTAATGGTCTACTTCTTTGCTTTGATTTTTTTGTGTGTTCTTTTCTTAGAAAATAACATGAAATTGAATGAGTAGGGAGGTGGAGAGGATCTGAGAATACTTGAGGGTAGAAGAAAGCGTGATCAAATATGATCAAATGATCAAAATATATTTAAATAGTAAGAATGCAGTTGGAAGCATTCAGCACGTTAATATTGTAATTTTAAACAGATTTTCTTATGTTTCTAGAGATGTTTCAGAAAAATGCAATTTTAATAAACTACTGTCCTTATGTTTTAATAATAATAAAATAACCTTTACTGAGTGTTAGCTTTCTTCCACATTTTGCAGGTGTGTAACATAATTTTAAAGTTTTCATTAGATTGCTTATGATACATGAACCACGGTATGATCTTCTATGGCATTTTTTAATGATTTCTTATTTTTTGTTGTTACTAAAATGTTGACCTCACCCATTCTGCATATAAGCATTTGGTTACAGGTTTCACTATATTCTCTACTTAGGAATAATTCATGGAGTGGAATTACACCATGAAAATAATCAACATTTATTTTACAGCTCACCGCTCTTGTTGAAATGGTTGTGCATTTGTGCCCTAAAGATAGTCCTTGAGAATGCTAATTCTATCCAACAAGGTCCTGGTAATTCTTACTTTAAATTTATTTCCTTTAATTCTCACTCCTCAGAAATCTTGGTTGGGTTTACAAAGTGTTCCTTAACCTCTTCCACATCTCCAAACACAGGCTGTGCCCTATCGCACTGTCTCCCCATCATTTCTTTGGCCTCTGCCTCCATCCTCAAATACGACCATGAGTATTGGGACCAATTTTTCAAAAACACAATTTGCCTTTAATGATTCCCCACACAAATCCTTCTGATGCCTTTTCCACATCTCAGAGCAAAGCTGTAACATTAGGCCTCTTGGTCCTAGCTCTGCTCAGCAGCTCCCTGCTGTACTTGGTGTCCTGCTCTCCCTAATGAATCAATGGTGGATTTTTTGGGTATTCCCATCACCACCCAGTACTAAAAAATCTGTGATGGTAGCATTATTATCCCCCTTTATTGATCCTAAAATGGACAATGGTTCTTACTTCACAACTGGATAGGTCCATTTGGTTAGCACACACTTCCTCTGTATTACCAAACCTTGTTCCCAGAACTGTTTGAGTACCTTAGTGAGTGAAAAATCTTATCCTTGGGGATAAGCAAAACAATATTCTTCTCTCAATAAGCTTGTTCTCTTTCTCAAAATATAAGACAGTATTGATAGTGTAACTACATGTTAGAATACATGTGTATTTTATGCCAAGCCATGAGCTCCATGTCAGTCACCTTTTGGCAGAAAGAGAGGGCATACTGATACAACATTATTCTGCAGTCCTCAGATGTTGAATTCCTGGGAGTAACGGCACTGCTCAAAGCCACAATGACAGCCAAAGGTCCTGAAGACCTTGAGACCTGGGCAATATGCAGACAAGTGAAGGGGAGTTCGTTCTGCATCATCATCTGGAAACCACAGCCGGGCAGAACCACTTGCCAGCTAACATAATGGTAGTACATAGCTCAAATGAAATGGGTGAAAGTGAATGGGAAAGAGGTAGATTAGAAAGAGGGTGAGGACAAGGGAGGAAAAGAAGAAAGAGAAGAGGAAGGGAAAAGGAAGAGGGAGAGAGGAAGAGAAGGAAAAGAGGGGAAGAGGAGGAAGGGGAGGAAGGAAGGAAGAACAGCAACACCTTATGCAGCAGTGAATAGTATCTCTAAGCTGTGCATCTGTCTTTCTGGTACTTGGTTTCTCTATGCTTAGAAGACTGGAGTGATAAAATGCTGTCACTGGCTGATGAAACTCAGAATCCAAGATTTCTAATCTTGCAACATGATAGAAAAACTGAAGTTATTGTAAACAAACCCATAATCAACAAAATGCAAATACTATAAGGCAGAGTCTATCCACATGCTCCTCACAGACTGGCTCTTCTCCCTTCTCTCAAGGTTGTTACTATACTTTTCCTCCACAATCCATTGCTGATGACTCAAGGGTGCATACCTGTTCTTCAGGCTCCGCAGGCTGAGGGACTGCTTCCTGCCCATCCTCCTAGGCTTGCGTCCTGCTCCAAGATACTGCCATCGGACACAGCAAACTCTGGTTTTCATGAGCACACTTAGCAACAGAGGGAAAGTATTTCTTAAGTCAGAGCCTTGTTCTTTCGGAGCCTCATTTCCCATTTGTCTTACGTCGGGCTTTATCTGCCCTCAGGGTCACAGGTACCTCTGACCTAACCAGTGGGTGTGATTTCTGCAGGAGATACCTCTGACTTGATGGTGATGGCTACCCAAGTGCACAGAGGTTCATGTGGCTCATGGCCCCACATTCAGCCTGGCCCTCCAGACTCTGTGGTTAATATTCTCTGGAGGTCTATCCTGGGCGGGGGGACATTTTCAAACTGTCCTGTTGTGGTTAGGATCAAGGGTTGAACTCCTCCCCTGGGTAGCAGCCAGACTGGTCCTGTCCCTAGAGACTTTGGTGGAACAAAGTTGACCAGTACAGTTTTCTAGTTCCCCAAGGGATACTCTGGTGCTCTGAAGCTTCCCCCAGGTGCCCAGAGGTCCTCATGTGTTCACCCAAGTGACTTGGAAAGACAAGAGCTGATTAAAGTGTGAGCTCAGGGTCCTGAAGAGGGCTTGGCTTTTCATATTAGTCTGCAAAGTGGCCCATGTACTCTGCACACAGGTTAAGTGAGATCAATCCTTCCTTGGATAGAATGGCTCAGACTTTACAGCTCTTGTCTGGCCTTTCCCGAGTCTGACAAGGGCCCAGCAGGCTTGTGACTCTATATGGCTCATGAAAGCTGTCATAATGAGATCATGTTGAATCTATCATCCCTGGACCTCAGTTTTCTTGTGTTAAATGGGATGGTGTTCTACAATAGAAGGACTGTGACAGTTAATGACAGCTGGTATATTCTGGCTTCATGCTGCTGTCTAGTGATCTTCTCTCTTCTCTTACTTTAGGCTTCTGATGAACATGTCAGGAATTATCTTGCAAGCATCTCTATTCTATACCTATCAATGAGAATCCCCCCCCCCAAAAAAAAAACCAAACAAACAAACAATAAAGGCAGAATCCATTATTGCTCTAGGAGTTGCAGTACAAAGTGAGCTAGAATCCAAAGGGGACCCTGCTTATAAACTTCTAGCTCTCCCAAAATGTATGTTTCCAGCTCCCCAGTGAGCCAAGAACTGAAATCTGTGAAGCTGCAAGAGGATGGGTGTGGGCATGTGCCTTGGGTCGAATTCTCATTTGAATCTTTGGAATGCAATCCACAGTGCAATGAGAACGGTGAAATTTTCACACTGGTTCTGTGCCGTAGTCTGTAAACCAGAGACTAAGATTACCTGCTCTTCTTAATATGCAAATTAATAAATTTATACTCTTGCAGATTGTCTAAATTTTGATGCCACAGAACTAAGAGGTGACTGGACTTGGATTCTTTGATGATGGTACTTTTCTTTCATTCTATGTGCTCTGGCAGTGCTCAGTGCGTAGGAAAACATATTGCCCAGAGACTGGTAGATAATAGATATTCAGTTAAATACAGTTGAATCTGAACTGATCAAATTGAGACTTCTTCTGTTTTATTTGTCTGCTGTTGTGTCTTCATGCTTTTCTTCTCAGATGGCCCCAACTGTTCCATTCCTGGAATGTCAGCAAGAATTCACCGTTTCTCTTTCCAAATGCTTTTCCTTTTACTAACAACTTCTCTACTACTGGAGATTGAACACAGAACCTCAGGAATAAGTTCCAACCTGCTGAGCTATCTCATAAGCTCTTGAATAAACTTTTTTAAACATTAATTTTAAACTATACCTATTAATTGAACATATGTGATATATCAGTGCATATATATGTGATATATCAGCGCTTGCCTACAATTTACAACAACCAGGCCAAGGTTTTTGGCAAATCCATCAATATTTACTATTTTATTTGTGTGTGTTTCTTGGGAAGATGCAAACTCATATGATTAGAGCCAGGAACATGGTATGTGCATTAAATCCTAGCCAACTGAAAGCCTGAAGCCAGAGCAAAACCTAAGTCCAAGGGTTCAAAGCCAACTGAGTTCGACACCGTAGCGACATTCCATCTCTGAAGAATGAACCTGGACAATGGCTTGGCAGCTCACAGTATGTACTGCTCTTGCAGAAGATCTGAGTTTTCCATAGGAGGAGGCTCAAAATTACTTGTAACTCCAATTCAGGGTGTCTGACACCCTCTTTAAGCCCATCAAGGACTTGCAGTGACATGGTGAGCATACATACTCTCAAGCTCATATACATATTCATTAAACTTATCTGCTCAAGTTCAGAGCTGCAGTTCTCTGGGATCTTTAATATCTTTCTGTTTTTGATATTTTTTTCAACAGTTCTAGCAAGACCCTCTGAGGTGAACTTCCTGGCTCCTTGAGGAGTTTCTGGGCCCACTTTTAGGTCAGATACAGATGTCCAGTTACTACTTGGGTATCTTGCTGTATTTGATGAAGATCAGTTTATTTGTTTTTGTGGAGTTTAGGGGTTGAAAAACTACTCAGAATTTCATTTCCTTCCTAAGTATTGTGACTTCTAGGGAGAAACTGCCTATGGTTCTCCCATTTCCAAATGTTTTTAGAAAAGGCTTGATTATTTTTGTTCTGTATTTACTTTTTTTTGATGTTTTTTGAGCATGACCACCCCTGAGACACCATATGACCAATGTGCAAAATGTGGGGTCTTCAACCCTGGCTGTGCAGATACCACCGGGGTCCTCTTCCCATGGTCTTGTGGAACCTGTACAAAAATGCTGATACATACATTGCTGGGACTCACAAGTTCTTCATGGTCTCTGATCCAGAGATCCATAACCTCTGCCAGCATCTCCAGAACTGAGGCAGCTTGCAAGCAGAGAACAGTCAAAATCTTTTACACCTCTCCACAATGAGGAAAAAAGAAAAAAAAATATATAAATTTAGGACGGTGAACATGCTTAATGGGTTAATCCTTCTCCCATGTCAGTTTTTCTGAATCTTCAGGCTATATATTGACACTGCACAAAATGGCTCATGAAGTTTCTGAGTGCAAGGCCTGGTGCTAGAGCCAAGATCACAAGATCACACTAATAAACTCCGTACACCTTGATTTTTCTAAATTAACATAGTTCTTCTGACCTAGTACAGTTTCTTTCCATTGTGTTACAGGCCTTCTCTTGCCTCTGACATTGGATTCCTCTGATATTAAGTAGAGGAGGCTGAATTAGTCCTGGTGGAAGGTTAGCACTCAAGGTGCCCATGCCACATATCCTCATGTGGATGTGACTGTCTTATGGTTCAGTGACACGAAGATGGAGAGTCCCCTCAGAGATAGTCCACTCTTTCGGGGAAAAAGGGACTGTTCCTAAATGTGGCAACATTAGCTATTCTCCATGAAGGTTCTGCATCTGCCATAGTCTCTGGCTATGCATTTCACCACAGACCACAGGAAATATGCTCACAGTTGTAGGCACAGCTATATATTCATACCTGGAAGGATATTGGGACTTTCCACATCATATAGTTTAAGATTTGTCTGCCCAGGGTGTGCTCCTCTGGATTGAGATAAGGCTGGATCCAGTCAGACATCATAGAAGGGTACAGATGAGCTGACTCTGTATTCAAGACCCTTGTCACCTGGCCCTTTATTTCCAGGTTAGTTTCTGCTCAGAAACTTCTGTCTAACTCCAGTGTGGGACAGGCATCTCTGGTTATTTGCTGAACAGTCCCTAAGCTCTCTCCATCACAACTCTCAGAGCCTTTCCCTACAGTTAGAGTACACTCCTCCGTGTAGGTTCACTTTTCCTCTTCATATTTCTCACCTTCTCCAAACTAAATAAAAGTATTTTCAGCTATACCATGTAATTCCTTAATTAATTTGCACATATATATTCACACACATACTATGTGAATGTCAGAGGACAGCTCACAGGAGTTGTTCTTTTCCTACTATGCAAGTCCCTGGGGTGCAGCTCAGGCTTTCAGAAAGCACCTTTAGATACTGGCCAAGTTAGCAAATATTTTCATCTCAACTCTATTTATTTTTTTGGGGAAAATGAGGCAGAGAGAGACAAAGTATCAAGGAAATAAAGAAGGCTCTTAAACCTCTCCAAATATTTACCTGAGGGTAGGCTCTGCATATCCCACATGTGATAGCTAGTCTTGGTTATTAAATTGACTGCATATGGAATCAACTAAAACACAAACTGCTATGCTCTCTTGTGAGAGATTTTATTACCCAGATTATTAAAAAAAGCCCCTTTTGCCTAAATCTGGACCATCTCTACTTGTCCCCCCCGCCCAAAAAAAAAAAAAAAAAGACATGGAAGAAGGAAGCTTTGGGTTTTGTTTGCCCTTACTCGTGCTGATAAGATTGTGTTGCCTGTCTTTGGTACCTACTGTATATATACTGATTTTCTGTTGTTCCTGTTTATGTTGTCTACCAGTTACCTGTTTGTTGTGCCTGTCTATGTTGTTTACCAGTTCTCTGGCTGTTGTGCCTTTGTTCTCTGTGTTGGATATGTGTACCTGTATTTGCCCTTTTTGTCAATGCAGTGATTAGTGGGGCATCTCCTGAGATGGCCCATGGGTCAGTAAAGAGCACTGAGAAAAACTGTTCCAGAGATGGTGTCAGGGAACGGTATCTGCTTTATTGCTGTGAGCAATTATTGATCTGTAAGAAGCCTATTAACTATTTTTTAAAATTTTTATTTCTTTATATTACTTATACTTTATTCACTTTGTATCCCAGCTGTAGCCCCCTCCCTCAACCCCCCATCCTATCCTCCATCCCTCATCTCCTCCCATGCCCCTCTCCAAGTCCATTGATAGGGGAGGTCCTCCTCCCCTTTCATCTGACTGTAGCCTATCAGGTCTCATCAGGATTGGTTGCATTATCTTCCTCTGTGGCCTGGTAAGGCTGTTCCCCATTCAGGGGGAGGCGATCAAACAGCCAGCCACTGAGTTCATGTCAGAGACAGATCCTGTTCCCCTTACTGGGGTACCCACTTGGATACTGAGCTGCCATGGCCTACATCTGTGCAGGGGTTCTAGGTTATCTCCATGCATGGTCCTTGGTTGGAGTATCAGTCTCAGAAAAGACCCCCGGGCCCAGATTTCTTGGGTCTATTGCTCTCCTTGCGGAGCTCCTGTCCCCTCCAGGTT